GAAAGACCAACAAGTATGGCGGAAATGAGGCCAATTAGTCTATGTAATGTGGGATATAAAATAACCTCAAAGGTCATATGTCAAAGGTTACGCAGGCTTCTGCCAAGATTAGTTTCTGAGACGCAATCGGCATTTGTAGCAGGACGGCTTATCTCAGATAATATCCTAATTTTCCAAGAAATATTTCATGGCTTACGCACTAACAAGGCATGTAAAAGTAAATATATGGCAGTCAAGACCGACATGAGTAAGGCCTATGATAGGATCGAATGGCCTTTCATATAGCATCTGCTTCGAAAAAAGGGCTTCTCGGAAAATTGGATTACATAGATAATGTGGAGTATACAATCGGTGCAATACAAGGTAATGATTAATGGCCATGCTCGGGGTCACATTGTACCCAAATGTGGCCTCAGGCAGGGAGATCCTTTATCACCTTACTTGTTTATTCTCTGTACATATGTTTTAATAGCGAACCTGAGAAAAGCAGAACGGATGAAACTTCTTTCAGGCATGAAAGTAGCACGTGCATGTCCACCAGTTATACAGCTATTTTCTGAGGATGATAGTTTACTCTTCTGCAAGGCTACTAAGGAGGAATCAGAGGTACTCCTCAGTATTCTCAAACAATATGAGTTAGCATCAGGACAGCAGATAAATTTTTCTAAATCATCGGTACAATTTGGTCACACAGTAAATCCATTAATCAAACTCTAGGGATTATGAACATTGGGGGGGGGGGGGGGGGGGGGGGGGGGGGGTGGGAAGTTACTTAGGGATAAAAGGGGGTGCTAAAACAAAGATTTTTAGTATTCTACTTGATCTACAGTAAAAACGGATAAATGGATGGACCTCCCGTTTACTCTTGAAGGCAGGAAAAGAAGTTATGATCAGATCAGTTGCTTCAGCGACACCGACATATGATATGTCATGTTTCCGTTTACCAAAAACTATCACAAAAAAACTGACAAGCATGGTAGCTAAATTCTGGTGGAGCACGAATGGACAGAGCAAGGGTATGCATTGGTTGGCATGGAAGAAATTATGTAAACACAAACTGGATGGGGTCTGGGTTTTAGGATAATTGAGGATTTTAACACAGCTTTACTGGCTAAGCAGCTTTGGCGACTTATTGATCATCTCGAGTCACTGTTTTCCAAAGTGTTCAAAGGAAGGTACTATCGGAATGGAGGGCCTTTGGACCCCATACGATCCTATTCTGCCTCTTATGGTTGGCAGAGCATTATTTCAGCTAGATCTCTGGTTAGGAAATGACTTATTAAAAGAGTCGGATCAGGAAATTCCATCTCGGTTTGGAATGATCCATGGATCCCAACTATTTGCCCGAGGTGAGCAAAATGTCAGGGGTATAATTTATACCCTGACCTAAGAGTAAAAGATTTGTTTGTTTCTTCGACTAAAACATGGAACATTCCTTTAATTAAATAGCTCATTGTCCCAGAGGATTTTCAACATATTACTGGAATTCCAACGACAACGGCAGATAGACCAGACTCACAAATATGGTACTATACAAAAACGGGGAGATATTCGGTTAAATCGGACTATAATCTTCTGCAGGATATTCAGAATAATGGTTCCATTCTGAAGTCCTATGGACCAAACATAACTAAACTACAAGGTTATGCATGGAAAGTTAGATGCCCGCCTAAAAAGAAACATTTCCTCTGGCAACTACTTTCCGGCTGTATTTCGGTCTTTGACAGGTTAAACAATAGAGGAATGCATTGTGACCACAATGTGCTCGATGTGGAGTGGACTGGGAAACCATAAATCAGACACTATTCGAATGTCCACCGGCACTCCAAGTGTGGACACTCTCGGTAATACCGACACCATTTATGGTTTTTTCAACATCAGCATTATATACAAATATTGCTCATCTTTTTGGCAATTACCAAATTTGGAGGATGTGGAAGTATTTCCATGGCTCTTATGGTATATTTAGAAAGCACGAAATGATAAAATTTACGGAAACATTGACAGAGATCCTAAAGAAATTCTAAAAACAGCAAAAGCAGAATCGATGGCTTGGTTTCTAGCCAACATGATGACGTTAGGGAGAACACACGACCAATCAAGGTGCATACTCAGATGGTCTAGAAACATTGACGATGGTTAATGATGGATTGACATGTCAAACAGATGGATCATGGAAGGTGATACAAGGGTTTTTAGGCTCTTGATTCAATCACTCAAGCTTGTACTAGTCAGTTATAGTAAAGCATAGGGTTTTATCAATCCAAAAAGGAAGAATGAAGCAGTAAGAATGCAATAGAGCTCTTAATTCAAGCAAACATAGATAGTTTAGAAGTCTAACAACCTAAGTGAGCAAGCAAAGAAGCAAAAGGAAGCAAGTCAAGAGCAATAAAAGCAGTGGAAAACATAGCAAGAACAGAGTAAATGCTGAACTAAAACAGAGTAAAACTAAACTTCAAAGACTAAAAGATGGTTCAAGATCAAGGCAATGGTGATAAGGTGATTCATGTTCATGTCTAGGGTGATCAAAACAAGCATTTCTAAACACTCAACCTTAGGTAAAGAACATTAATAAAGACTAATCCAATCTCTTGGTATTAATCCTTTTTCTAATCACATATTCAAGATAAATCTCTTTACTCAAACACATAATCATCAATCATTAAAATCAAGTTCCATAAAACCAAGTAGCATGCTAGACATCTAATCTCTTAGGCTAGGTTTACTAATCTCTTATACAATATATCAAACATCAACTCACATTCTCATGCATAATCAATGTCTAAAGGCAATTTCTCATCAATATGGTACTAAGCAATAATCACATTCAAGCAAGAAATGATAGATGCAAAGACTCATGATTATCTAAACACCATTTTCAAGCATTGAACTTCATTCAGGAATTTCATCAAACACTTGGTGTGCATGTGAAAACCTAAAATCAACTTCTCCAACAAAGAGGTACCAAGCATTAAGCACAATCATATAAGAAAGGGAATGAGAAGATCTAAGCCCTAATCAACCCAAACAATCACTAAAATCACCCCATGTGCCCTAATCTCAAACCTAAAGCAAACTACTCACTAATCATAGTAAAAACCATCAAATCTATGAAGAAAAGATAGTTAATCATGATTAAGGAGATGAAACAAGAAGATAAATGCAAATTTTTATTAAAATCAAGCAAAGATTCAAGTTACAAAATCAAAAAGCTAAAACAAAGAAGAAGAGACTGCTGGATAAAGAGTTGTTTCCAGAAATTAGGAATTTTAAGTATTTATAGGAGTCTAAGAGAAAATGGTAAAAATTTAAATAAATGGTGTTCAGTCTGGGTTTACATCGATCAGTTGCATCGGTCAGTGCTTGATCGATGTGAATCCTATCGATAGGCTTCTGCTGGTCGATGCAGGTTGAGCGGTTTCACGACAATTGCGATATCTATTGAACAGCATATCAGAATGACCTGAAACCAAGTCCTCCTGAAAGCTAACTCACGTGGCTACAACTTTCATGAAGAGTGAAGATGCTTAATAGAGACGGAGGCTACTCGTCCGAGCTGATCTTCAAGTCGGCCAAGATCAACGGTAAAAACTCCAGATGGACATGTACTCACTTTATTCGCCGTAACTCTTCAACCACTGATGGAAATGACTCGAAACTAAAACCAAACGAAAGCTAACGCAAGTGGCTACAAAGTTGATGAAGGACGCCGAAGCTAAATCGGAAGGCAAACACCTCATATGAGCTGATCTTCAGTCGATATGAATCACATCGGTCACCAACTGATCGTTGTACTTGACCGAAATTAATCCGTTGGGTTTACAACGATCAGTGTTTGATCGATGCTCTTGACCGAAAAATCCGCTGGGTTTACAACGATCAGTGTTTGATCGATGCTCTTGACCGAAAATCTTGTATCGATCACCCCTTGATCGATGTCCCCCGTGCTCTGACCGAAAAGGGTTGAGCGGTTTCACGAAAACTCCTGTAACTTTCTAACCAACTCCAGGCGCAAGCTAACTCACGAGGCTACAACATTGGTGAAGACTGTTGAACCTGAATCTGGTTGGAGATGCTTTTTCTGAGCCATTTTTGTCAGGTGAAGTTTCTGGCCGCTTCAACAAGGTGCACCTTCTTTTTGGCTCTTTTCATGTCTTGTGCTGCACCCACCATCATCTCCAATGTCCTTGTAGCTCAATGAGTACCTATAAACATCTTTCATGCAAAGAAAATGCAAACTACATCCTAAAAGCAACCTAAGCCTAAAAGGAGAAGAAAATAGGACAAAGGATAAGAAAACCATGTAAAAGAGAACCAAAACATGCACTAAATGCAATCATAAATGATGTAAATACAAGAGATATCAGAAGGCGACAGCAGAGAACGCTGGGTTAGGATGGTATTGTCCAGGTTCAACAGAAGACACAATATTGATGGGGGCAAAGAATGTACGACGAAGCATCTCCCCAATACACACAGAGCTAGAAGCCCTAAAATGGGCGATGCACAATATGTTCGACGCTAGAAGACTCACGATGGCTTTTGTCACTGACTTTCCAAACTGGTGAAGTCAAATTCCGAGGAATGACCAGCCTTCGCTTTCGCATTTGGAGGAATTTGAGACAAGTAAGAAGGAATTCACATCTTTCTCGATCTCGTATATCTCACGTGCTAAAAATACAAAGGTAGATAAGTTGGCACAGAGCGTCCGCGACTACCTTTATACTTTGCATTATGTAAACTCAACTCCACCGGTTTAGATTTCTCAACCGTTTTAAGAGTAGAGACTGTTGAAAAAAAAAAAAAAATTAAATCATTCTTATCAATACCCGAAAAGATTGGATCTAAACCCGAATAGGTACCCGAATGCCTAAAGCTAACCGAACCAAAACTAATCAAAACCAAATCGACTCAGACCAACCTATACACTGAACCGAACAATTTTTGGGCTTTTTCAAATCTGATAATATCTCTCAACTCCATTTCCACCAATCGTAATATTTCGGTTTAACAAAAAAAAAGTATCACAAAAAAATGAACGAAAATCTAAAACGAATTATAAAATTGAATTTGTGTGGAGAAAGAAGCTTCTCGGCAGAGAAACTGAAATTTGTGGCTCAGTATCTCTCTGAAGAACATTCTTCCACATCTCTCTCTCTCTTTGAAGAACAAAAATGGTAGAAGATGAACAATGACGAAGAAGCATTGTTGTTATTCTTCAAGCATTATTAACCCTGTTGTTATGTTCCTTCCATGGCCTGTTACATCGTTCCTTATTACTACAATCCCGTTTCGCCTCGTATCAATAGAAAAGTTATAAGTCAACATCGCCAACGTTTCTCCGGCAAGATCTTGAAGACAAGACCTGTGATTCCTCGAAATTCCGCCATTAGCGACGGTGGTGTCGATTACAATACCTTAGTCTCCGAGGTTAGATTATTTTTCGGCAATTTCGTTTCTATATTGTTGAATTTTCACTAAATATCAAAAGATTCTCGAGAAATCTGATCTAATAGGATAATTGTTAAGTTGGATCTGACTATAATATGAAACTGAGCTTCATGTTCAATTGGGGTTGTTTTACACTCTTTTTTCTGTTTCCTGAATTTTTAGCTCAATTTTGTGGTGAATTTAACGCTCAATGTTCGATTAATACATTTATACTTGTTTATTCAATGTTTAATGTTTAGTTACATGTTTATGCCGTGGATTTACTTCAGATTGTGGATGTGAATGTTAATGGTGTGGATAACGATGAATGAGGCTGTGAGGCTTTTGGAGAAGCAACTTTTTAGTTTTGTTTCCAGATTTTTTTAGCTCAGTCTTTGGTGAATTCAATGTTCAATGTTCAAATAATACATTTAGACTTATATGTAGTGGAGTTACTTCCGATTGTGAATGTTAATAGTGTAGATAATGATGAATTAGGTTGTGAGGCTTTTGGTTCCAGAACCAAACTTTGTTAGTTTTGTTTCCAGATTTTTAATCTCAATCTTTTGGTGAATTTAGTGTTCAATGTTCGAGTTATACATTAAGACTTCTTATTCAGTGTGTGATTACATGTTTATGTAGTGGATTTTACTTCAGATTGTGAATGTTAAATTGTGTGGATAAGATTTAATTAGGCTGTGAGGCTTTTGGTTCCAGAAGCAAACTTTTTAGTTTTAATTTCCAGATTTTTTAGCTCAATCTTTCGGTGAATTCGGTGTTCAATGTTCGAGTTATACATTAAGACTTCTTATTCAATATTTGATTACATGTTTATGTAGTGGAGTTACTTCAGATTGTGAATGTTAATGGTGTGGATAAGATTAATTAGGCTGTGAGGCTTTTGGTTCCAGGAGCAAACATTTGGTGATTCAACGTTTAATGTTAAATGAGAAGAGATCGTAATAGTGGAATTTTAGTGACACTTTTAGTTCTGTTTCCTGATTTTTGAGCTCAAATCTTTGGTGGATGAGAGTGACATTATGCTCAAAACCAGAAAAAAAAACTTTCTCTCTATTGCTACCTCTATACTTCATTCATTCAACTGTTGTGAATACTAATGGTGTGGATATAATTGTGAATTAGGCTGTGAGGGTTTTGGTTCCGCAAGCAAACTTTGATTCCTCCAAGCTCAAAGTTGAATTCTTAGGGGAGTTATTAGTGAACAAGACTAGCAGCAGCGGGATTATAACGCCGCGCACATATATACTCTCCCACTGTGACTTCACTGCTAACTTAACCTTAACCATCTCCAACGTAATCAACCTGGATCAATTAGAAGGCTGGTACAAGAAAGACGATGTGGTTGCTGAGTGGAAGAAGGTGAAAGACGAGCTGAGATTACATATCCATTGTTGCGTTAGCGGGCCGAGTTTGTTGCAGGACGTGGCTGCAGAGCTTAGGTATCACATATTCTCCAAGGAACTACCTTTGGTTAGTCCTCTTGCCTTTTTTTTTTTTTTCAACTGGTTCTTAAGAAATGTGAGAATGAGGGATCTAAACTCTTTGGCGTTGTGTTTAATATTAGGTACTAAAAGCTGTTCTCCATGGAGATTCTGTTATGTTTATAGAGAACCCTGAGCTAATGGATGCTTATGTATGGGTTTATTTTCATTCACGCTCACCTAAATACAACCGAATCGAGTGCTGGGGACCTCTCAAGGATGCTGCAAAGGTATAATGTAAATCACGTTGCTTAACTTATGCTTCATAGAGAAATGCATGAAATATGAATTTTTTTTGGTTCTGAGTGTGTTATTTGGTGGTGAAGGGAAAGCAGAAAGGCAATCATCAAGGCTTCCTGAGTTCGAATACTTCTTCGAGGAAATTGATTCGGCGTAAGTCAATTTTTCATACCCTTTTTACATTTCTTCTGTGATACAAGTTGTATATCCTTTTTTTTTTTTGTCTTTTTGCAAGTGATGTAGATTTCTTGATGAGCATCTGACACAACTGCAATCTGCCAACATTCAATTGTTCATACTCGGAAATTTTATAAGAAACTTGTTCCCAAACATCTTCACCCACATTGCTCATGCTCATAATCGGTTATATGGAAATGTTGTTTGGTTTATGAACCATAAGGATGTCAATTTGGGCCAAAGCCCGACCCAGCCCTGAAAAATATCGGGTTTGGACTTTTGTATAAAAGCTCAAAAAAAATCGGATTTTTTGAGCTAAACCTATTCGGGCTTAAGCCTGATCGGTCTCGGGCTTACTCGAAAAGCTGTGTACTTTATATTATAATTTTATTATAAATTTTATTAATAAATTATCTTTACAATTTTAAAAAATTAGAGTTATTAATTTTTTATAATACTCTTTATTAATATAAAACATTAATTTTTAGTTGTATGTCTTCGTATAATATCAATGCTCAAACTAAACTAGTTTTAAGAAGCATTCCTACATTTATCCTGAAGATTCTCATCTCGATTATACCGTTTATACTATTTACATTACTTATTTATTTAATTATATTTGATATTAGAATTTACATGAATTTATAAGTTAAAGTTTTGCTTTCAGATTTGATAAAGCTATATTTATAATTATTTTTAAAATTTATTTTATTTTTCTAAAAAGTCCAAAAAAACTCGATAACCCTATTAGGGCCGCGCTTCAAAATATATGTCCGATATATTATCGGGCCGGGCCGGCCCGGACCAGCCCATTTGACATGCCTAATGAACCATAATTACTCGCTCAATGTTTTGACTTTTGAGACAATCTATCGAATGTGAAATTTGACTTTTGATCAAAACATGTAAATTATTAATTTGACGTATTCAACTTTTAATAAGATTGCTTGCTCATAAGTTTCAAATACTATTAGGTTTATAATTCGTGCGAGTTTGTATTAATAGTTTGGTTTTTTTTTTTAATCTACTGCCTTCTAACTAATTAAACTATAATAGATTTATAGAAAATTTCTTTTATAAGAGAATTTAAAATATAATATATAGTTTTCTCCTATTTTTATTCATAAATTTTTAAAATTTATTAAGTAAAATAATAACAAGGACACATATCGACTTATTTAACTTTGACGTGTACATACATTTAATTTGGAGAAGGGTTTCTTTGCTAAGATCTTGATATTTTGTTTTGTTTTCCATAGGATTTTTACAGTTTTTTTAAGGTTTATGTGTTTAAATATTTAGTTTTTATTGAATATCTTATTGATGTTGTGTACCTATGCATATAATCCATGATTCATGTTGATTTGCATTTAGTTTTGTTCGGAAGTTGCAGTTATCATGCAAAACTGTTTTTTCCTTCTCCACGAGGTCTTTCACGAGCTTTAGCTTATATCTTTATTCAGTTTTCATTCAAGTATATTTTTTTTTTGTAGTCTAATATTTGATAATTTTAGTTTTTAAACTTATATGATTGGTGGTGTGTACTCTTCACATTATTTTCACTGCTTTTATCTTTAGTGTGCAATCTGCAGGTTTTGATTTGAACATTTTATCTACATATACCAATTTGAGTTTGATTTATAACTCTGTTATATTTTATTATTTAAATAAATTTTAGAATGTGTTATTAATGTTGGTTCAGATAAAAATAGTGGCTATGTATAGAAATCAGATTTTACTACTTGTTAAATTTCAAATGTAAAGTTATTTATGTAGTGTTTTTCTTTATTAGTTTTTAAATCAGAAACATCCAGTGTATTAATCATTGTATATTTAAAAATATGTTTGATCTAAAAAATTTTGTAACCTATTACAATTTTTAGATAAGTATTCATTGTTGATACTAATAATTTAGAAATCGGGAATGTTTTGAAATTAATTTCGTTTTAATTTTTTTTGATACTTTACATATTTTGATAATCAGTTTATATTTTATTTTAATTTATACAATTTTTTTTTTGTATGTTTGATATACTTATGACTTGTCTTTTATTAACGTCTTTTGTAGTTGGTTTTCAAAATATGTAGTATAGACATTAAGTTAATTTCTTTCATATGAATGCTTTTTCTTTGTTAAATCTGTTTTTATACTAATTTTCAAGTTAATTTCTTTGTTTTAGACATCAAGTTATTTTGCTTTTACGATATTATTTTTTTTTTGTTAGTTTAACTCTTTTTACATAAAATTTCAATTTAAATGTGAGGGATACTACAGTTTGGTTTTTCTAACATAATTTTCTACTTTATTTGTTACCTAAGCTTTTTTCTATTTCAATTTTTCCATCTATAAAACGAAATTAATGTTTAATATTTTCTTGTCAATTAATTTAAGAGTAAGAATGGAGATGAGTGATACTAATAATGTTTGATATTTTTCATTGTTGATACTAATAATTTAGAAATCATGAATGTTTTGAAATTAATTTCTTTTTAATTTTTTTTTGATACTATACATATTTTGATAATAATTTTATATTTTAGTTTAATTTTTTTGGTGCAAATACTTAATTTCATTAATTAAAATTAAACACGGTTCATAGGTCGAAGCACGCTCTTTGCTAAAGAGTCGGCCTCATGGTTTTCCTTTCTTGATACATGCAAAAACAGTGAATTAGAAAAAGAGATTGATAGAGATTGAATGTCGAAAGCGATTCCATGGAGCTGCTTGTGGGTGGATTCACCATTGATTGTCTTGATGAGTTCCTGTGAATCGGAGAAGACGGCCACTTCTGTGAGATTTAGATCTATTGCATGGCGAAGGGCTCTTTTCATGGCGACAGCTTCCGCTAGGAGGGGGGGGGGGATCCGATGAGTTTGCGCGCCTCCGAGCCCCGGATCTTGCTTCCCAGGTTTGGGTGTTCGATCGTCCATCCCAAGCCCGCCTCTCCAGTTTCCTTAATTCATACTGCATCAGTGAAAATGATTACTGTTGTTGTCGGGTAAGCTCTCTGTTGATTTGTTATCTTTTTGGAGATTTGATTATCCTTTGGCTTGAGCGATTAAGTGCTTCAGCTTCCTGTGCTCGTTACCATTCTTTTGCGTCGCTGAGTGCTTTTGTTGCTGTTTCTGCAGCCGAGAAGATCTGATTTTTGAAGATTCTATTGTTCCTGGCTGACCAGATGGCCCAGAGGGTCCACGGGTAGACCGGGGGGCTTCCGACTTGGTGCGCACAGATCAGATCTTTCACTCGGCGTAGTCCCTGTAGCAGGGAGATAATATCGCTTACTCTTAAGGTCGTTGTGAATGGCATTAGAGACCATATCTGGGTCACAAAGGGGCAGGAGAAGAGCATGTGGGTTATTGATTCCGACTCAGGGCAGTGTGGGCACTCATAGAACATTGTGGGGATGCGTTTCATTAGATTTTCCCCCTTGTAGAATTTTCCAAAGGAATAGTTGGAGTTTTGGGGAAGTGTTTACCCTCCAAACATCTGATTGCCAGTTTGTTCGAAGGTTGTCGTGGTCCGGATTTGGGGGTGGTACCGAAGTAGTCACCGCTTCAGTGTATCCGGATTTGGTTGTGTACTCCCCCGAGGATGTGGGGAACCATATGAACTTGTCTTGTGCACCAGAGGAGCTCGGGATAAGCTGCAAGATCTCCCTCTCATGTACTAGTAGCACTGCTCTGACTCTGTCTAAATTCCATTCAGCAGAGTTTTCTTTTATGAGATAATCAATCGTGAGTGACTGCAGGTGTGAAGGAGCGGGGCCCATTGGAGCTTTCTGATCTTCAAGCGAGAGCCAAGGTGTTGTCCAGATGTTTGACGCTTTACCATCTCCAATGATTTTACCCAGTTTTCCCCAAAGCAAGTCTCTGCCCGAGAGAATTGCTCTCCAACCATGTGATGCTGTCTTGCGTGCTTGACAATCCAGAAAAGGTACATCTCTGCAGTACTTACCACATAGTACTCGGGCTAGTAAGCTATTTGGGTTTTGAATAATTCGCCATCCTTGTTTTGCTAGCAGGGATTTGTTGAAAGCTTGGATATCTCTGAAGTCTAAGCCACCGTTCTTTTTTGGTTGGGTGAGCTTTGTCCAAGCTGTCCAGCTCATTCCTTTTTTCTCCGAGTTATTGTCCCACCAGAATCTCACGAGGCATGATTGTATACGTTTGCAGAGAGATATGGGGAAAAAGCACGACATGGTGTAGGTTGGTATCGCGGAGAGGACTGACTTTAACATTGTTAGCTTTCCTGCCGTGGATAGTTGGCGGGAAGCCCAGCTCACACTCTTTTGTCGTATCCTGTCAACTATCAGACTAAAGAGATCTTTCTTCTTCCTTCCAAAGTGTTCTGGCATCCCTAGGTATTTGCCAAGTCCCCCTTCCTTTGTTATATTAAGACACCGGTGTCTTTGCCCCGAGAGTTATTGCTGATTTAGCATAGTTGATGATTTGCCCCGATGCTTCAGAGTATTGTTGAATGACTTTATTAAGTGCTTTGCAGGTTTTGGGATCCGATATGCAGAAGAACATTGCATCGTCTGCAAATAGGAGACGGTTCACCTTAGGGCTCCCTTTTGCTACTTTTATTCCGGGGAGGCATCCTGAGCTTTGAGCATTGTTGCAAAGGCCCGAGAGGACCTCACTACATAAGATGAAGATGTACGGGGAGAGCGGATCCCCCTGTCTAATCCCTCTCTGCGGTACTACTCTCCCTTGAGCGGCTCCATTGACGAGGAAGGAGAAGGAGACAGTTGATATGCATTGCATTATCCAATGGCAGAAGGTAGGGTGAAAACCAAGTCGTTGTAGCACTAAGTAGATAAAGTCCCATTCCAGTTTGTCATACGCTTTAAACATGTCGGTTTTTACGGCTATTGAGCATCTTGTCTTGGCTCCTGATGTCTTGAGAAAATGTAGGATTTCGTGAGTAATGAGCACGTTATCTGTAATATCTCTTTTTGGGACAAAAGCCGACGGAGTTTCTGAAATGACTTGTTGCAGGAGCGGCTGGATGCGTCTTGTAAGCAGCTTGGAGATGATTTTATAATACACACTGCAGAGTGCTATAGGTCTGTAATCCGCCACTATCTTTGGACTTTGTATCTTCGATATCAATCTGATATACGTTTCGTTGATTTTTCAGGTAGATATCCTGAAAGGAAGAACTCTTGCACTTCCGAGACTATAGCGGATTCCACTTGTTGCCAATGCGCCTCGAAGAAGGCTGCGGAGAATCCATCTAGACCTGGGGCTTTGTCTGAGTGGATTGCGAAGCAGGCGTGCTTTATCTCCTCAGCTGTAGGGATTTCCACCAGTCTCTCATTCTCCTCTGGCAAAATCTTTGGTCGCAGAGCTGCATTAACGGTACTGCTTCGCTCTCCCTTTTTTGTTGTGAAGAGCTTTTGATAGTAATCCACTATTACATTGACTATTTCCTCTTCCTCGAATACTGCTCGGTCCTGTGTATCTTCAATGACCGAGAATTTGTTTATTGCTCTTCTTCCTCTCGTAGTCGCGTGGAAATAGCCAGAATTCCTGTCTCCAAGAGTGAGCCATAGTTGGCGGCTTCTTTGTTTCCAGAATTCCTCTTCCTTGTTGTAAGCCTCTTGTAGCCCAACATTAATGCTCTTTATTTCTTCCTCTGAGTGGGATTGACTATCCATAGCCTCCTCAAGTTTCCTTTTGAGTTCAGAGATATGTTTTTGACTGTTGTTTTGCTTTTCTTTATTCTAGTGGATTATTTTCCGGCGACTTACTCCTAACTTCTCATTGACTGAGTCGAGATCTCCTCTCTGCCATACTTTATAGATAAGACGGTGGACGTCTGCGTTGTGTCTGAGCCTCCTATCATACCGGAACAGGCCTCTTCTCTTCCTAGAGTTAGAATTGAAGTAAATGGCGATAAGTCTATGATCTGATCCTTCAAATCGAAGGTATTCACATCTTCCCGAGGGGAAAACCTTTGCCCATGTACTATTTGCTATAGCTCTGTCAAGACGGCATATGGCAATGTGATTGTACCGTTTTCCTCTCCAGGATAGAGAGTTTCCAGAGTGTTGCAAGTCGTACAGATCGCAGGCTGATAGGAAGCTACGGAAGTCGGTAAAAGAGCCTTCTGGCCTGGCTGGTCCTCCCTGCTTTTCCGAGTTGTCAATAATATCATTGAAGTCACATGTGAGTAGCCAAGGAGCTTCGCGTTTATGAGTTTTGTCCCTCAGTTGCTTCCACACTTGGCTCCGCAGGGATCTGTCCGGTCCCTTAGTTGCTTCCACACTTGGCTCCGCAGGGATGTGTATTTTAGTTTAATTTATACAATTTTTTTTGTATGTTTGATATACTTAGGACTTTTTTTTGTTACCGTCTTTTGTTGTTAGTTTTCAAAATATGTAGCATAGACATCAAGTTAATTTCTTTTATATGAATGTTTTTTCTTTGTTAAATTTGTCTTTATATTAATTTTCAAGTTAATGTCTTTGTTTTAGATATCAAGTTAATTTGCTTTTACGATATTGATTTTTTTTTGTTAGTTTAACTCTTTTGATATAAAATTTCAATTTAAATGTGAAGGATACTATAGTTTGATTTTTCTATTTCAATTTTTCAATTTAAACCACTGATGGCGCTTTAACACTTTTTTATTTTAATTTTTCCAACTATAAAATAAAATTAATGTTAAATATTTTCTTGTCAATTAATTTAGGAGTAAGAATTTTTTGTAATCTATATTATAAGTTTTAGCTTTTATGTTATTGGTTTTTTTTGTTAGTATAAATCTTTTCACATTAAATTTAGTTTTGAAAGGTACTATATTTTGTTTTCTATTTGTTACTTCAGATTTTTTATTCTGATTTTTCTATCTATAAAAAAATTAATGTTAAAAAATTAGCAATTAATATTATAAAGTTTTAATTATATTTAATATTTTCGTGTTTAATAAAAAACGCTGATCTGGACCAATCATATTGTGTTTCTTCGTCCTATGTGCACGTCTTTAATGGCCTAAAACTTCAACTTTTATATAGTAGCGGGAGTTTGTATAAATAGTTTCACTACAAGAAATGATATGTATTGTATCATTTATTTGATTTGTTACTATCATTTTCTGATTGATGCAAATTCAGTTACATCATTTAATTAAATGACTCTGGAAGTAGTGATGCTAATCATTTATATCAATATTATTAATGATGCAACTATTTTTATCACTTATATTAATTGATATTAATATATATCATTTGTAATAAGTGATATTAAAATTTAACTCAGTTAAAATAAATGATATTAATATTTACATCTCTTAAAATAAATAATATTAATATTTACATCAGTTATAATAAATGATACTAATATTTACTATCAGTTATAATAAATAATATTGTATATTAAAATTCTGGGATACTAAAATTCATATAGATTTAAATTTTTTTATTAATTTTTATAATACTATAAACTTAAGATAACTAATCATTCTATATTTATTATTTTGAGAAATATATGTAAATACATACATATGTTTTAACTTAAAAAAAGTTTAGTGTTGATGAATTTCTTTTATAGAGGAGGAAACTAATACTTTTTTATCATTCTTAGCAATGTGGGACAGGTAGTTGTTTAGTTGAAATTTTATTTGCATCACTTTTATAACTGAAAGAAATATTAACATCATTTATTATTGGTGCTAATGCTAGTTGATCAAGTGATTCACTTATATAATTGATGTTAACTTATATATTTGTGTTAGTTTTAAAAAATGATATAAATTAATAATGATTTTTATCAGTTGTTTACAATTGATGTTAATCAAATTAGTATTAGTATCAATCATTTTTAATTGATACTAGTCAAATTATGATTAATATCAATTAAAAACTGAGTAAAATTTTATATTTAGTGTCAATTTTTAATAAATGATTCTCAATAGAATCAGTTATTTCACTGATACTTTATAAGTGATGTAATATACCATTTTTCTTGTAATGTTTGGTTTATTTTATTTTTAATTTACTACCTTCTTAATTATTGAAACTATAATAGATTTATAGAAAAATATAAGAGTATTTAAAATATAATATATAGTTTTTTCCTATTTTTATTTATAAAATTTCAAATTTTATGAAGTAAAATAATAACAATGACACCTATCGAATTATCCAACTTTGATGTATACATACATTTGATTTAGAGAAGAGTTTCTTTGCTAAGATCTGGTGTTTTCCTAGGGTGGGCATAAAAACCATAACCGAAAAAACTAAACCATACCGAACCGAAAAAAGTGATATGGTTTGGTTATGGTTAAACCTAAAAATCCATTTGGCCATCATTTTTTATAGCTTTGGTTTAGGTTTGGTTTGGTTAAAAACCATCAAACCAAAATGTTTTTTCGGTTTTTAAACTAAATTTTAAATAATTTATATTTTCCTAGTTTCTTAATTTAGTTTAGGTATATATTTTATTATTGGGCTTAGTTATCTTTATAATTTACTAACTTAATTCATAAATTTAAAATATAATATTTATAAAAAATATCTACATATAAATAATAAAGTAAACCTTAATTTTTCAATAAAGAAAAACGTAATTAACTCTTTTTTTTTTATATTCAAACCTTCTAGTTCTAGTTTCAAAGTTATAGGTATTAAATTTTAATCTAGATTTGTTTATTATTTTATAATTATTGATTATGAAAGATTTGATAATTTGTTTGTTTCTCTGTTTTGAAATCTGTCCTTATTGATGAATTTTTTATGATTTCGATTCTATTTTTTGGATT